GTCCTGAAAACCCAGCCACCCTGCTGTGGTTATCTGACCGCTTGCAGAGGGGTGGATCTGAAGGCAGTGCCAAAACTGGTGACTCGGGGGAGGAAGGCTCCACATGGCGTTACTGCTCTGTGCATCATAGTGCCATTTTGGTATTTCACTTTCTGGGGTTACAGTGTGATCTGACTTTAAAGATGTAGTGAAATTAATTTTATCAATGGCCCCAATGTGTCTTCTTGCTTCATCATTGAGGATGCTCAGCATGCACCTAGCTAACCTCTCTTTTTTTTGTCTTGTTTTGTACCTAACAGAAGAAAATTGACTGTCCGCGAATTGTACCTGCCTCCTTGGACCCAATGCCCACGGGAGTATCTCGGGACATTACGATCTCACTGGCTAATGCGACTTTCTCTAAGGTAAATGAGTTCCTGGAGAGATCAGGAAGGCTCAGATGAGCCTAGGTTGGTGTGCAGCAAGGTGGCCAGGTCAGCCAAAGGGAGTTTAAGTACGAGCTGGTTTCTGCCTTGGAAGCAGGTGATTGCGTTAGCAGCTGAAATCACTGTATTAACAAAAGATGTTGGTGGAAAGCAGCCACCCCGATGGCAAGTGAGGTTGCATGGCAAAGCTGAAGGGAGATGCTGTTTGTGCACAAGCATTCTCCAGGGATCTCCTGCAATTAGTGACAGGCTTTTTGCATTCAGTGGAAAAAGGAGGTTTATACACCTTGTAAAACAGTCACTAGAATAAAATGTTTGGGGGAAATAAAATTCCTGGTTTCCTTGTGGGTGTTTGCTCCACCACAGAGCGTGCCAGTGTTGCGCTCTCCCGGTGCCGTGTGCCAGCCCGGCCCCACCACCCCGCATTTAGGAATGAAGGACAAAGCCCAGAGCTGCGGGCAGAGAGCCCTGTGCTGGCTAAGCCACTGCTTGGAGTACAGCACAGAAATATGTTTTAACTTAACTTCTGGTGGTCACTGCAGAGCTCTTTTTTTTGTGAAAAAAATCCTTTCTGTGAAATTTTCTGGCATGTGAATTGTAATAGGGCGAAAAGCAGGAGTGGACGTCAAATGGTGCCTTCGGAGATGTGTCACACGTCAGGAGGAACCAGAAGAATTTGGGGCAGGGAGGCTGGGCACTCGGAAAATACTTGACTGAGCTCTGATATCTGTAGAAAGCCGTCCTGTGCCATTTTGGGTCAAGTCTTCAGTGGGGCCCGCGGGGCCTGGATCGCTGTGCCCCTGTGAAGGATACCTGCACGCTGGGCAGCCAGGCACCTCCTCTTTCTGCAGGGAAAGGAGAAGGTTGGAAATGCTGGTGGTGCTGCCCGGCTTGCTGCGCCAGGGGCGGCAGGGGGGCTGCCAGGCACTGTGGAGGCACCGCTTCTGCCGGACCTCCTGCCCTCCCGCGCGGGGGCAGAAACAAGCTCTCCCTGCCTGGCTGGGGCTGCCCTTTCCTGCACAGGTCCGGCCTCCGCAGACGAGGAGCTGCCCTCAGCAATCAGCCACAGAGTGAAAGCACTG